CAATGAATTACTATGCCCCAGGCACTATCCTCTGTGCACATGATTTATTGATTCTTGAAGCAGCCCCATATGGCTGCTATGACCATCCCCAAACCATGGCTAGGGAAGCTTAAGTGACTCACCCAAGGTTAAGTGACTCACCCAAGGTCACACAGTCAGGGAGTTCTGATACCAGGCGCGAAACTGTGATTTATACTAAGAAATATATATTTTGTCTTTGTCTTCGTTCCTGGCACTGAGCTCCTGAAACCTTTGTAAATTCCTAGGTGATAAGAGCACTAAGCGCATCTGTTCTAATGAGGCGACTCTGATTGGCCTTCTGGAGGGTGGCCGGTCCCCAGAAAGACCAAGCCATGATTAGAAGCTTGGAATTTTCAGCCCCACCCCAATTTCTCCAGAGAGGGAAGAGGGGCTGGAAGTGGAGTTAATAACTGATCGTGCACGGGACTTCCCTGGTGGTCCAGTGGTAAGGAATCCGCCTTGCAATGCAGGGGATGCGGGTTCGATCCCGGGTCAGGGATCCCACATGCCGCAGGTAGCAACTAAGATCCCACATGGGGCTTCCCTGGTGGCGCAGTGGTTGAGAGTCCGCCTGCCGATGCAGGGGACGCAGGTTTGTGCCCCAGTCCGGGAAGATCCCACATGCCGCGGAGCGGCTGAGCCCGTGAGCCATGGCCGCTGAGCCTGCAGGTCCAGAGCCTGTGCTCCGCAACGGGAGAGGCCACAACAGTGAGAGGCCCGCGTACTGCAAAAAAAAAAGATCCCACATGTCGCGGGGAGCAACTAAGCCTGCGTGCCGCAACTACTGAGCTTGCGCGCCTCAACTAGAGAGAGAAAACCCACACACCACAACTAGAGAGAAGCCCGCGTACCACAATGAAAAGTCTGCGCACCGCATCGAAGACCCGTTGCGGCCAAAAAAAATAAATAAAATTTAAAAAAATTGATCATGCCTACATGATGAAGGCTCCATAAAAATCCCAATAGTATGGGGTTCAGAGAGCTTCTGGGTCAGTGAACAGGTGGAGGTACGGGGAGAGTGGTGCACCTGGAGGGGGCATGGAAGCTCTGCGCCCCTTCCCACATAACCTGCCCTACACACCCCTTCCATCTGGATGTTCATCTGTATCCTTTACCGTATCCTTTTATAATAAACTGGTGCACAGCAAGTAAACTGTTTTCTTGAGTTCCGTGAGTCACTTTAGCAAATTAATCAAAGCTGAGACGGGGTCAGGGGAACCTCTGAGTTACAGCCGATCGGTCGGAAGCACAGCTGATAACCTGGCCTTGCAACTGGTATCTGAAGTGGGGACAGGTAGGGGGTTGTTTCATGGGACTGAGTCCTTAACCTGTGGGACTGGACACTCTCTCCAGGTAGACAGTGTCAGAATTGAGTTAAATTGTAAGACACCCAGCTGGTGTCGCAGAGAATTGCTTGGTGGGAAACCCCCCGCCACACACACACACACACACACACACACACACACACACACACACACACACACACACACACACACATCTGGTGTCAGAAGCACTGTGAGTGTGATGGTAAAGGAGAAACACAGGAGAACTGTAGGTTTTTCTTCAGAGCCGGTCCCAAAGGCTCCTCGCCTTCCATTCCCAGCTGGGCCCCAGGCTGAGCAAAGGGGCAGAAGCCCCTCCTTATCTCTGCGGCTGTTGAAGGCATGAGCTTGGGGGAGAAGCCGCTGCTGCAGCGGGTCGGCCTGCTCAGCCCGGAGCGGGGCCTTGGGACTGAGGAACCACTGAGCCTTGCTCACTAGCTCATGGGCCAGTGACCCTGGCAAGGGGCAGTAGGGGACTTTGAGCCCTGCATTTTAATTCAGTCATTCATGTAATAAATACTTACTGAGCACCTCCACTGTGCCAGGCACTGACCCAGGCACTTTGGGCATACCAGGGCCCAGAACCAAGAGCCTTACACAGGGTGGGGAGAGGAGGCCCTACCACTGTCTCCATGTTATAGAAGAGGAGATTCAGGCTCAGAGAGGTTATGTAACTTATCCAAGGTCACACAGCTGGCAAGTGGTGGAGCCAGGACTTGAACCCAGGAGCCTGGTTCCAGTGTCTTACTCTCCCTGCCATGCTCACCCCATACTATCTAACTCCCACAACAGATCTGTTCCAGTTTTTTCATACAGAGGCTACATCTGTACTATAGAGGCTGGGGGTTAGCCCAGAATGGGAAGCTGGAACACTGAACAACTCTGCACCCTATTCGCCTCTGACGATGTGATGGTGACTTGAGAGCAGACAGGCCCGATTCCCAGAGGCGCTACCTGTGTCCTTCCCTTCTGTTCCTTCCTTCAGCCTCATGGGATGATTCTCACACTTCAGTGTGGAGAAGGGTATTCCTAGCAAGGGCTGCAAAACCAGAACCAGCTTCAGTGGACAGCTTAGGAGGTTTTCAAGGGTAATTTTGCTACATGTGATTTTTACATCACTATTGCCCTGAGAACTCATTTCCCTAGAAGGTGTGTTCCCACTGGGGCTGAGGTTAGGATTTTTGAAGTTTGGCACGGGAAGTCTGGGAGTCTGGTCGTGGCTATCTGGAATATTAGCTGAGACCAGGCTGCTGGAGAGAAGAGAACCAGGCCAGGGGGCCAGAAGTGAGGGCTCCAGAGACATTTCCCCCATGCCCTTCCTCAACAGGAAAACGGGGGCTCCATGTTGTGTCAGCAAAAGGAGGAACGGGGTGGGGACGTGTAGAAGCTTCAGCCTGGAGCTATAAAACCTGCGGAGGCTTCTCTGGTGTGTTTCAGGGTATTTCCTGCCTCCTGAGGTATCTGGGTCCTCCCTGGAGCATGATTCCCTCAGCCTTTGCCTTCTACATTCCTATATATGTTACTCTAAGACTCCCCGAGGGCACCTTACACCCTCCCAATCCTCCCACCCACTCAATTCCAGCGGCAGGGTCCTTCTCTCTAAGACGAAGTTGCCATGCTCATTCCCACCTCAGGGCCTTTGCACATGCTGTCCTTGCTGCCTGGCATTTTCAATGCTCAGAACGGTACGTGGCGGCTCCATCTTCCTCTCCCAGTCTCAGCTCAGGAGTCATCTCCTCAGAGAGGTTTTCCCCGCCCACCTCATCTGAAGCAGAGCCTCCCTCCCCATCACTCTCTAACTCCCTTCCTGATTTCATTTCCTTCCATCAATCTTCACCACCTTAATTATCTTGCTCATTTATGCTCATTTCTGGATTTTTGTCTCATGCCTCCTATGACTTCCAAACTCACTGGAAGCTTCCCCAGAGCAAGGCTTCATGTCTCTTGTCCATTTCTCCATTACCACCTCCCATAACAGCGTCGGGCATAGGTGCTCACTAAGTGTGGGCTGACTCGCTCAATGCGTCCTAGTTGCCGCAGTGCCCCCTGAATGTCGGACTTTGCATCTGTAAAATGTGCGTAAGGACACCTACCCAATGGGGAAGCCACGAGGATTCAGTGAGATGCTGTAAGCACAGAGCCAGCACATGGTGAGCTCTTACTATTCTAAGTCCATGCCCTATACAAGGAAGAGCTTGAGAAAAAGATAAAGCAAGCTCTCTACCCACGCTGGAAGGCTGGCCTTGAAAATGACTCAATGCCACAGGCCGTGCTGCTTTCTCAAGATGGTCAGGCGGGGAGGGGGATATGAGCCCACCTCTGCAACCCTGGCCACCTTGAAGAAGCCCAGGCAGGCTCTGACGGTGCGTACAAACTGGCTACCCCACTGCCTCTTGCCTGGCACAGAAGCCCCCGCCATCTCTGCCGCTTCCTGCATATCGACATTTGAGCAAAGAACACAAAACACATTAAATAAATGTTATGGTCTTATGGACAGGAAAAGAGAGCTGAGAAGGAGTCTCCAGAGGGAAGGCGGCTGGCTCAGAGCCCCAAGCTGTGTCAAGGTCTTAAAACACCAGAGACCAAAGTCATGGTCATGCTTTGACCATGGTCATGGTCACACCAAAGTCATGCTTACAGGAATGACTTTCTTGGTCCCAGGAGCAACCATAGGGCGCAATGCAAACAGCACCCGGAGTGAACCTTAAATATCAGGGGGACCATCTCTCAGTCCTTTCTAAAGAAACAGTCATGGTCTCGGGGAGGAAGGCTCTGTAGGGGGCATCTATTGACGCCCCTGGCCGTCTTCTTCAGGTTCCAACACCCCATGGTGCTTTGGGCTACAACCCCTCCTCCACCGGCCACAGTCTTGGTGTTTCTGTCAATCAAAGGGCACCTCCCCGCCAGCCAATCAGGTGCTCCCTCCCTGGAATATGAATCTTGAGGGGAAGGATGCAGAGAACAGAAACCATGGGGATCCCTTTCCTCCTGGAGACTGCACCCTGAGTCCCTCAGCTTCAGTTCTGGGGCTGCCCACACCCTTCCAGTAAATTCTGACTTTGTGGACGGTGATCAGGACCGGTTTCTGGTTTCTCTTCCTTACAACCTGAGACCCACACTGCAAAAGGCGCCCTGTGGAGCTTGGAGTGCTGGCAGCTGCGTGTGGCCATGGCCTGGGTCTGGACCACTGAGAAGTTTTAAATCATCTCTAGTGTAAATCATCTGAGCTTTCTCTCTTCCTCTTTCCACTCTAGGGGCTACAGGGGGACTAGGCTTCAACCAGAAGGGGGCGGTATCCCAGAGGATGGCAGACGGAGAGCAGAGCTGCCCCATCAGCCTAGATGGTCCCCTTTACTCTGCTATGTGAGGGGCAGATAATCCAGCTTATTTAAATCACGGTATTTGGGCTCTTGTTGCAGCAGCTTAGTGTGAATTATGATATGTGGTGCATAGGTTAAAACGAAAAGAAAACCCTTCAGTTGGGACTTGAGGGAGAGACGAAGGCCAGAGCCCCTACAGGCCAACCCCCTTCTTCCAGCCTCTAAGAAACTTCCCTACTCTGGGCTTGGCAAGGAGAATGTGGTCTTGATGGCCAGCCCCCCATTCCCAGCCCTCCACCTCCAGGAGGCCCGGCGAGGCCAAGGCCCAGAGGCTCACCTTTTTCTCATCCCCGCCTTGCAGGAGGTGTAGGGTGCTCCTCCGGTCACCCTCGTGCTGCCGCAGGGTGCTGCCATGGGGTTGGGGCAGGCCCGAGGGCGGAGAGATGCTGCGGCCTTGGGGGTCTACCCAGGTGTAGATATGGTTGGTGACGTAGCCGCCAGGGATGCGCCCCGCTGAGTACACCGACAGCACCAGCTTCTTGGAGCCCTTGAGAGCCTAGAGAGAGAGAGAGAGAGAGACACGAGTTAGCAGGAAAGGGGACGGTGAGGAATTATCCAGAACTTGCTTCCTCTCAGGCCACCGCACATGGAGTAGGCCAGCAGCTCGTAAATGTCTTCCCTTTACTAGCCCTCAATTTTGTCCTATGGAAATGAGGACACCTGTCTCACCCCACTCCGGCCCCCATCTTGAAATAGTCCAAACACACGGCATAGGACCTCTCAGCATACCTGTGCAGAACAGAGTTAGCAGAGCAGGCCTACAACTGCATCCTTACGAGGGCCTGCTGGGCGGGCCTCTGGGAACTTGGATTCTGAGCGTTCCCACCATTCCCTAACTAATAAGGGCAGCTTGCCGTGCCTGGATTATTTGTGCAAACCACGTAGGGGTCTGGGATGTGGGTACAGACGGAGGTGCCTACCTCTGGTGCTGAGTCTCTAATGAGCACCCCTGGTAGACAACGTTTCACACGTGTTGTACAACTCAGTGCTGGAGGAAGCAAGCCCATCCTGTGTGACTGCACAGAGAGAGGACTCAGCCGCTTCTGCCTGGTTTCCTGCAGACTTTGCCTCGCGTGCTGCTCCTGTGCTCACTGGGCTGTGTATCCTTTTGCCGTAACAAATCTTAGCCACAAGCTCAATCATATGCTGAACCCGTGAGCCCTTATGGAAACTGGGGGTGGCCTTGGTGACCCCGATAAATTACTAGAGAGTCAAGAGATAAAAATACTGATACTAATGGTAGCTTAACAATGATAAAGGGCCTGTATGTATGAAACACTCGGCTCTGTACCTGATGTGCTTTATCTCCTGAAATCCTCATGGAATCCAATTTAGTAGGAGAGGGATTCCATGATTTAGTGGAAGGAAACAAGGGAAATGACCTGCCCGCACAGCTAGTACAGGGTTCCTTTCGTACAGCAACTAATTTTGAGTGTGCATACCACCTTGACTCAACACTTTCTAGTGCGGGGATGGAACTGCCACAGGGAGAGGTGAAACCAAACTCTGAGCCCTGGGAGCGGCCATGCTGCATTCCCATGATGCACCTGTACTGACATGAAGCCCTTTATTCAGGGAGATGGTCACTTAGCACTGGGATTAACAGCAAACATACCCCTAAACCTGGGACTCCTGAGCCAATGATAGATAGTACCTGCACGTGGGAAAATTCATGCTGCCATTAAAATCGCATTTTACAATCATTACAAAGTATTTGTAAGGCCATGGATGTGTGAAACATTTTAATGTTAAGTGCGGTCAAAAGGATATAAATCCTGTCTTACAGTGTGATCTCAGTTATGTTAAGAGAAAAATTACACAGGAAAAAAAGAAATGAAACTGGGGAGTAACGTGCCACGATGCCAGCAGTGCTCCTCTCGGGGTGGCAGAATTATGGGTGATTATTATTTTGTCCTTCCTGTTTCTCAATATTTTCCAAATGTTCTGGAATGAAGGTATATTGCGTTCAATGCCAGAAAACAGCAACATACATAAAAGGGTAGGGAGGCACTTAGCTCTCTGAATCTGTGGAGCACTGGGTTCTACTGACCCCCCAGTTCTCTTGGCAGACAAAAGGGGTCAAGGGTGGGGCTTTCAAAGACAGTGGGGAGCCCTGGCTGGGCTCTGAGCGGTCTTCCCGACCCTTCTGCCCTGCCCCCTGCTCCCTGCTCCCTCCTCCGTGAAGGCACTGCTGCAGCTCTGATGCTGCTCCAACTGGCCTGCCTCTTCTTTGATCCCTTCCCTGGACAGACGGTGAGTCTGAGCCCCATCACTCATCAACAAGGGCTGACCGAGCCTACTGTGTGCTGGGCCTGGAGAGAGCAAAGTGGGCATATCCTCATGGCACCTACAGCCTGGAGAGAGACAAGGCTCCGTCAGGTGCACAGTAGGTCCTCAGAAAAACCTGGTTGTCCTGACTGGATGCGAAAGCACAAATATGGCCTCCAAAGGAACCATAGCATGCACAGGCATCATCCTGCAGCCGCCTTCCTCATCTGATCCGGAAGGCTGCGCTGGAATTAGGAACAGGGAAGGCAAGTGGAAAGAATGGACGTTGTGGATTTGGACAGAACTGGATTTAAGTCGCTTCTGTCACTTATAGGTCAGGAGCCCTGGGGCCGGCTGCTTCCTCTCTGAAAGCAGCACACGTGGGATGCAGACAATGCCCACCTCTCAGGATTGCGTGGGTTAAATGAAACAGTGTGCTTGAGGGCCGGGCCTCTGCACACAGTGGGGGGTCAGCAGGTAGCAGAGCCCACTCGCCTCTCCTCCCAGGAGTGTCCGCATTGAGAAGGGAAACCAGGTGTAGATAAGCATTGTCCAAGGAGTTAAAAAAAAAAAAGGTGTGTGAGAGAATGAAAACCAACGCACAGTGCATGATTTGTATTCTGTATCACTGGCAGTAGTGGCGTTCTCTTGGTCAGTTCTATAAATAGGCAAGCAGCAACCTTGAGAACGGAGAGGATGTTAATGACTTTGACGAGAACACCACGGACAGCTGGTGCCGGAGAGGCCCTGGGAGGTCACTGAGTCTCCCAACTGCTGCCCATCCCCAGTGTGGTACAGAAGGGGACACTGGCAACCCGAGATGGGAAGGGACTGGGAGGGTAGAGCCCAGACACAGGAGGCCAGCCCTGGACAAGCCTCTTCACCTCTGCACCTCAGTTTCCCCATCACAAGCCTGTGGGACCAGAAAATCTGACGGCCACTCAAGCCTAGACCATCCTGGAACCTCTGATATTGGCTCTTTGGGGGGTAAATATAGGCTTTCCTTAGGTCTTGGAGAGCACGAATATCATCATCCACTGCATCACCATCCATCTTTATCTTCCTGGCAAAACTGAAGAAAAAACGAGATTCCTGAGACAGCGCTTTCCACACCCAAGCAGGCTCTGGGAATATGGTCTTGGTGCCGTGGCCATTAGAACCCAGAGGGAAGGCCTCCATCCACTGTGCTTTGCCTAAACGTTGTGTGTCATGCAGGGAAGGCGAGGAGGGGATTGTCTAGGAATTCAGTTTCTACTTTCTCATTGCCTTCTTGTCTCCTTTCTTTACAAACAACCGCTTGCTTATTTTAAAAGGTGTCACTGAACGGACGGGTTAATTCCTAAAAAGAGCTGGCTGGTGCTTTCGTGCCCTGACAGCCCTTCCACCTGTCTTCCACACTTACTCACCATGGCTACCTGGATCCCCGAGGCTCAGGCCATCTGGAGGAGGGTGTGGCTAGGTGCCCAGGCCATTCATTTCGCAGAACTGGTGGCTTCTCTCACTGGCGAGCCTCAGGAGCAAGCAGCCCTATGCAGTAGGGCGAAGTAGAAGGAACTCTGGCTGTGAAACCGAAACCCAGGCATGTCCCTGTTGTGCCCCTGTCCTGCTGGGTAGTCGGGGGCTATGTCCTCCTCTTGCTGGGCCTCGGTTTTGCCAACTGGCAATGAACGGGTTGGAATCCCCGATCGCTAAGGTCCTGCCCCAAGTTAAACTTCAAGGTCCTCTGGTTCATTGCTGTATTTAGAAGAAAAGAAGTTGCTATCAGGTCCCTGAACCAGATCTTGGACCTGGAGGTTCTGAGGTTCCATATCAATTGGGAGGGACCGGAAGGGTTTAAGAAAACACCAGAAGGGCAGATGGAGCACCTCGGGTGTTGCAGGACGTACACCCCAACTCGGCACTATCATGGGCAGCAGAGGGACCTTCAAAGGGACCTGAGGGCTGGGGGGGGACACACTCCAATGGGACTACAACTGTGTTTCCCTGCTCTTTGTAGGCAGCTGCTTATGTGTGGTAAATCACATCCAAAAGCTACCTTAAAGCAGCCTGCATGCTCTGCCTGTGACTGTTGGCGACTGGCAACCACACCCCTCTCCTGCTGCAGCAACCTGCAGAATCAGCCAGTCTCCTGAATCAATTGCTTATAAGCTGTGCCACCTCACACAAGTTACCAAACCTCTCTGTTCATCTGTTTCCCTCCTGTAAAATGAAGATCCCTTTTCTACTCTCTCTTTAGGTAGAGGAACCCTATTAGCACAGTACCTGATACTTAAGAATCCAATGAGCTAAGGCTAAAAAAATCCCATGAGATCTAGGGCAAGTCCACGGCAAGCAAGAGCCGTCACCAGAGTCCTCTGCTCCCCTGCGTGTTATCACATGTACTGATGAAACTTGACCGAGGGGCTTAACCAGCATTCCACCAGGTCACGGAAATCACGGAAATCTCGATCTGACCCGGCAGATGGCATGGCTAAGATACGACCCATCACCAGATGACTACTCAGACTGCGTGCTATGATTGTAGAACTGTAAACTATATGTGCATGTCTTCAAACTTAATAACTTGCTACTTGGATTAATGCTCTCAGGAGGCAAATCTGCCTCACTCAGCTCTTCAGAGCTGACTCTGACACCCCAAAATCACAGTCCAGGCGATAGAATTCTCTGCTCAGCAGAGGACTGAGAAATAGACTGGAGACGGCTACAATGTGAAGAGACTGGGGGGCGGGGTGTGGCAGATGCACACACGCTCCTGTGTTCAAAAACATGCACCGAAGTGCAAGCACAAGGTCACAAGACCATTAAACTATTGTCTGGAGGGGCAGGTACAAAAGAAGTGTTTCAGAAAACGCTCGAGTAAGGACATATGATGGTGAGTCATCCAGCTTATTTCAGGGCAAGGTTTTCTCTTCTGGGGAACAGATCACTCAAACTCAGGAAGGGGAGCTGGTCTAAGATCCAGGTTAGTGATGGGGAAGAGAGGGAAGGATGTGCTACCCTGCTCTTCCTGACCCCACCTTGCCTAGTTGGGCTTGGGGTTCAGACTCACTGGGCACCAATCCTGGCTCTGAGGTTGACCTGCTGTGTGGCACAGAGCAAATAACCTAACCTCTCTGTGCCTGTTTCTGCATTTAAAATGCAACTGTTGTAAGGATTATTAAGATAGTATAAACCACCTATATAGTACATAGCACAGAGTAGGTACTAAATGCACATGAATTCCCTTCC